TTTTTGTGGTATCAGTTGTAATGTGTCTTTTTAATCTCTGATTTATTTGAGTTATTGCTTTTTTTCTTCGTCTAGCTAAAAGCTTGTGATTTTGCTTATCCTTTCCAAAAAAGTTATTTTTAGTTTGAGACCAGCCTGACTAACATGGAGAAATCCCGTCTCTACTAATCATACAAAATTAGCTGAATGTGGTGGTGCATGCCTGTAATCCCAGCTACTCAGGAAGCTGAGGCAAGAGAACTGCTTGAACCTGGGAGGAAGAGGTTGTGGTGAGCCAAGATCGTGCCATTGTACTCCAGCCTGGGCAACAAGAGTGAAACTGCGTCTCAAAAAACAAAACAAGACAAAACAATAACAACAATAAGAAACAGTTCTTTTGAAATTAAACTTTTATGTTTTTGTTTGTTTAAGAGACAAGGTCTTGCTTTGTCACACAAGCTGGAATGCAGTGGTGTGATCATAGCTCACTGCAGCCTCAAAATTCTGGGCTCAAGCAATCTTCCCACCTCAGCCTCTCAAGTAGCTAGGACTACAGGTGTGTACACCACACCTGGGTAATTAAAAAACTTTTTTTGTAGAGATGAGGGTCTCACTATGTTGCCTAGGCTAGTTTTAAACTCCTGGCCTCAAGAGATCCTCCTGCCTTAGCCTCCCAAAGTGTTGTACTATTTTTTTTTTTTAGTCTTTATTTCTTTTATTTTTATTCTGATCATTACTATTTTTTTTCCATCTACTAATTTTGGATTTAGTATATTCTTGTTCTTCTAGTTCCTTGAGGTGCAATGTTAGGTTGTTTGAGATCTTTCTTCTTTTTTGATGTAGGCATTTATGGCTATAAACTTCTCTCTTTTGCTGTATATCATAGGTTTTGGTATATTGTGTACCCATTTTCATTTGACTCAAGAAGAATTTAAACTTCATTTTTAACTTCTCCATTGACCCATTGGTTGTTCAGGAGCATGTGGTTTAATAATGTTCTCTGAGCTTCCTGGATCTGTGGTTTGCTGTCTGACTTTAATTTAAGAAATTCTCAGTTGTTATTGTTCAAGTGTTTCTTCTGTTTCTATTTTCTTTTCCTTTTGGTATCTCCATTACATGAAGTCATACCTTTTGTAGTTGTCCCACAGTTCTTGAATATTCTGTTCTGGGTTTTTTTTTTTTTCAGTTTTTTTTTTTAATCTTTGGTTTTACAGATTTGAAAGTTTCTATTGATACATCCTCAAGCTCAAAGATTCTTTCTTCACCCATGACAAGTTTACTAATAGGCCCATCAAAGACATTCTTCATATCTATTACAATGTCTTGGATCTCTAGCACCTATTTTTTTAATTGCATTTTAGATTTTGGGGTACATGTGATGAATATGCAAGATAGTTGCATAGGTACACATGTGGCAGTGTGATTTGCTGCCTTCCTCCCCTTCACCTATATCTGGCATTTCTCCCCATGCTATCTTTCCCTAACTCTTCACCCCCCACTGTCCCTCCCCATTCCCCACAACAGACCCCAGTGTGTAGTGCTCCCCTCCCTGGGTCCATGTGTTCTCATTTTTCAACACCTGCCTATGAATGAGAACATGTGGTATTTCATTTTCTGTTCTTGTGTCAGTTTGCTGACAATGATGGTTTCCAGGTTCATCCATGTCCCTACAAAGGACATGAACTCATTGTTTTTGATGGCTGCATAATATTCCATGGTGTATAGGTGCCACATTTTCTCTGTCCAGTCTATCATCGATGGGCATTTGGGTTGGTTCCAGGTCTTTGCTATTGTAAACAGTGCTGCAATGAACATTCGTGTGCATGTGTCCTTATAGTAGAATGATTTATAATCCTTTGGATATATACTCAGTAATGGGATTACTGCGTCAAATGGAATTTCTATTTCTAGGTCCTTGAGGAATCGCCACACTGTCTTCCACAATGGTTGAACTAATTTACACTCCCACCAGCAGTGTAAAAGTGTTCCTATTTCTCCACATCCTCTCCAGCATCTGTTGTCTCCGGATTTTTTAATGATCACCATTCTAACTGGCATGAGATGGTATCTCATTGTAGTTTGGATTTGCATTTCTCTAATTACCAGTGATGATGAGCATTTTTTCATATATTTGTTGGCCTCATGTATGTCTTCTTTTGTAAAGTGTCTGTTCATATCCTTTGCCCACTTTTGAATGGGCTTGTTTGTTTTTTTCTTGTAAATCTGTTTGAGTTCTTTGTAAATTCTGGATATCAGCCGTTTGTCAGATGGGTAAACTGCAAAATTTTTTTCCCATTCTGTTGGTTACCAATTCACTCTAATGACTGTTTCTTTTGCTGTGCAGAAGCTGTGGAGTTTGATTAGGTCCCATTTGTCTATTTTGGCTTTTGTTGCCACTGCTTTTGGTGTTTTGTTCATGAAGTCCTTGCCTACTCCTATGTCCTGAACGGTTTTGCCTAGATTTTCTTCTAGGGTTTTTATGGTGCCAGGTCTTACATTTAAGTCTTTAATCCATCTGGAGTTTTAGTATAAGGTGTCAGGAAGGGGTCCAGTTTCTGCTTTCTGCACATAGCTAGCCAGTTTTCCCAACATCATTTATTAAACAGGAATCCTTTCCTCATTGCTTGTTTTTGTCAGGTTTGTCAAAGATTGGATGGTTGTAGATGTGTTGTGTTGCCTCTGAGGCCTCTGTTCTGTTCCATTGGTCTATATTTCTGTTTTGGTACCAGTACCATGCTGTTTTGATTACTGTAGCCTTGTAGTATAGTTTGAAGTCTGGTAGTGTGATGCCTCCTGCTGTGTTTTTTTGCTTAGAATTGACTTGGCTATGCGGGCTCTCTTTTGGTTCCATATGAAGTTTAAGGTGGTTTTTTCCACCTGCTGTGAAGAAGGTCATTGGTAGCTTGATGAGGATAGCATTGAATCTTTAAGTTACTTTGGGCAGTATGGCCATTTTCATGATATTGATTCTTCCTAACCATGAACATGGAATGTTTCTCCATCTGTTTGTGTCCTCTCTTACTTCGTTGAGCAGTGGTTTGTAGTTCTCCTTGAAGAGGTCTTTTACGTTCCTTGTTAGTTGTATTCCTAGGTATTTTATTCTCTTCGTAGCAATTGTGAATGGCAGTTCATTCTTGATTTGGCTCTCTTTAAGTCTGTTATTGGTGTATAGGAATGCTTGTCTAGCACCTATTTTTGATTCTTTCTTAGGATTTCCATCTCTCCACTTACATTGCCCATATGTTCTTTCATTCTGGCTACTTTCTCCATTAGAGCCCTTAGCATATTAATCATAGTTGCTTTAAATTCTGCAGTCTGAGAATTCCAATGTCTCTGCCATGTCTAGTTCTGATGCTTGCTCTGTCTCTTCAAACTGTGTTTTTTGTCTTTTAGTATGCTTTTTATAGTTGTACATGATGTTCCAGATAAAAGGAACTGCTATAAGCAGGCCTTTAGTAATGTGTGGTAAGGGATAGAGGGAGGGGAAGTATGATTAGGTCTCAGTCTTTTAGTGAATCTATGCCTCTGGACTGTAAACTTTACAAGTGTTCCTCAGTTTTTTTTCTCTCCCCACTTAGGTGACACAGGATGGCTAGAGTGGGCTGAAGTTGAGTATTTCCTTTCAGCTACATTGAAGGATACAGCTGGCTGGAGTTTGGTACTTTCCTTCTCCCAGTTCATTTAGACTCTGATAAAATCCCAGCAGGTTAGGGGTTAGGTTCTGTTTAACTAGTTTCTCCTGATTAACTACCTGTTAAAGTAGTTTCATTATACCCATTAAGAACAGAGTGCTCTGGTGTATTTTAAAATGGTTCATTTTTCCCTCTCTCTATCAGAGGCATGAGGGAATTTTCCCCTGATATTTACTATGAGGACCTGGTTGAGCTCCTGGACGTAAAACTCACCAAAGTGTGGAGTGGCAGGATCATAGCTCACTGCAACTTTGAATTCCTGGGCTCAAGCCATCTTTCTTCCCCAGCCTCTCAAGTAGCTAGGACTATGGGTATATACCACCAAGCCTGGCTAATCTTTATTTTTTTGTGGAGATGGAGTCTTGTTATGTTGCCCAAGCTGCTCTTGAACTCCTGGCCTCAAGATGATTTTCCTGCCTTGGCCTCTCAAAGTGCTGAGATTACAGGTGTGAGCCACAATGCTCATTCTCTCCTAGAATTTTAGACTTGTCCACACCTAGCCTGCAGCAATGTCAATGACAATTTCCTACTCTAGCACTGGCTCCTGTGGAGCTTTCTGTTCCAGTATGTTGTGATTCTCTGTATCTGCCTGGTTGTCTCTCCCATTTTGAAGGCAATAGTTTTGCCCTGTGACCTTACTTCTCAGGGATCTAAAAAATATTCTTGATTTTTTAGTTTGTTAAGCTTTTTACTAGTTGTTGGGATGGAGTGGCAACTTCCAAGCTTTGTACATGAAGAATTGGAAACCGGAAATCTCACACAATTATTTTTTGACCTGTTTGATCCCTGAGGTTACAAGAGACCAAAACTGTCTTAATTCACACTCACTCATGTACCCAGTGAAGTATCCAGCCATGCCCTATTTATATTTTTAAGACTGGCTCAGTCTGGCACTCTCACATTTGCATGCTTGCTAATCTCAAGAAAATATACTCAATTTGATGCCAAGATTTGGTTAAGAAAAATTGTAAATTCCTAAGAGTACCAAATACAGTTACCAATGTAGGCAGTTTAACACTGGCTCTACAAGTTCCAAAAATCCAGAGGCAGATGGCATATTCAGATTTTATTTTGATTTCAGTTTTTCTTTATAATTCACTTCAGTATATATTTTTAGAGCTCTTCTCTATACCTATGTCTACATTAAGAACTGTACAGTTTATAGGAAGAAGAGAAATATGTCCTTTGCCTGCAGGGAGCTGAAAATCTAGCCTTGAATATTACATCCAGTGTGAATGAAAGATAGAGCAATGTAAGGATGATAAACAATGAACTACATGGACTGAAATCAGAGCATAGCTTGGAGTCCTAAAGGCCAGCATCACTTACCTCCAGGGAAGTATAAGCAAGGGCTGCACTTGTGGCCACATGTCTGCTGTATTGTTTAAATTGCTGGAGCCCATCCTCTACTGCCAGTCGCAGAGAAGTGCCTTGTGATCTGAAACAACCTTCTCTCCGTAACATGCGGAGCTCTGAGATGCAGGCCTGCAACCTAGCAAAGTTCCCTTTCACTTGCTGCAGAGAAAAATGAACCAAAGACACAAGTCTTTAGGGACCAGGTTTCAGATTAATTGGCAGTCTAAATTAATTATAAATAATTCCTCAGAAGTTCCTTCTCTTCCTGAAAATTTGCTTATTTGACCAATATCAACTGAATGCTTATTGTGTTCTAGGCACTGCACCAAAATCTTCCCTACACCAGTGGAAGGAAAATTTGCAGCCATAAAGGTTTTGATTTTTACCTTTATGAGTTACCAGAAACATGAAAGGAAGTTTTAATTCATTCATTCACATTAAGGGAAGTCTAGTGTTTGACTGCTTTGTTTTACTTTGGGGTGACCTACAAACTGGAAGCCAGACAGGGTTCACCTTAGACATTATCTTCATTTATTAGTCAGCCTAGGCATCAAAAGTTTCTCTATTTAAAAATGCTGTTTTCCCAGAAGTAAGAATTTTGATGTGGTTGATCACTTCAGAATTCATACAGTCCTAATACACTCTTCAAGATAACTTCAGTAAAGAAGAGATACTTGGCTTAGTCTGTAGTCAGCTTAAGGAGCCAACATGCTAACCCAGACAAGCCACCTTTTGGTTCTTCTCATCTTCCTTTATAAAAACTTGCTCTGAGGAGTCAACTAATTTAATCTGATACTAGGCCTATGTTACTTGTCCTAAGACTATATGCATTTTGATAAATGTGGACTGAAGATTTGTGGCACCATTTGAAGGGATTCCATGCATCAATAACAGATGGAGGGTAGAGAAGAATTATATTTGGGATGGGGACACCTTCCTGATCCAAGAGCAGAACTGAGTGATATCTGCAATGCACATAAAATCCATGAGCATGAGCTGTAATCCTGCCAAAATAAAAAGACTGCTTAAGTTAACCCCTTCCTGGCTTAGCTCCACAGTTGCTTACATTCTTCTCTCCCCAAGTCTTTGGGGGAAAACACAATAAACTGGTCTAATTCTTATACAAAGAAAACTTGTAATCTAGATAGGAAAATAAGAAAACTGTCCAAGGAAGAAATGAGAAGAAATCGTACCACAGGTGTAGTCTAGTAGGCTTTAAGCATTTCTTCTCATGTATCCCCTGAAAGAATCTAAGAAACTAGGCATTTTTAAGTGAACATCTAGATTTTAAAATTCCAACTTTATAAGTGGTTGCTAAGGATATAACTTCCAGCATATTTTAAATATCAACATTTAAAAATAAAACTATATCACTCTTCAAACATAGTCTGATTGAATCTAAATGCCATGGTGATTTGATACTCACCATTACCAATGTTAAAAGTACATGAACAAGCTCTTTTTTTCCCAATAGATAGAAAAATTTAGATTGTTCCTTTTTCTCCTTATACTCATATTTCCATTTCACTTTCCCTGAGAGTTTTATCATAATGCAAAATAATTTTTATGCCTGGCAATCTTTTATTGATTATCCTATCATACTTCTCTGCATCAAAAATAGCTATATTTTGCAAGAGTTCTAAATTTCCTATGACCATAGGCTTTAAGGGACACTCTAGATTGAGTTATTATTAGAATTATCATTCATATACAATTTATCAAAACAACATGTATATACCAATTTTGAGAAATAATTATTGGCATTAAGCATAGCTTTAATTGGAAATGTTCCTCTTAATGGCATGGACAGGCTGGGCTCTTCTTCCAATTAGCTTGGGTTTGTGTGAATAAATAATTACGGCTCAAATGATACAACATTCAGTATCAATTTTTATTCCTATTTAATTAATTAATTTATTTGGTGGCCAACATGTGTTGAATTTATTGCATCATTATAAACAGAGAAAAACATTGTTTTATCTTGACCAGATACCCAAAAGGCTATAAAAGAAATGTAACTTAACTCCAATTCGAGAATATGTACTAAAAATTTTAAGCCTCACCTTGGTATTTTTAAAAGACTAAAATGTGATACCCTACAAGGCATTTCCATGTCATAAATTCATTCTATTACATTTTACATATAAAAATGCTGCACATTGTTCTAATTATGTGTCTGCACTTGTACTGCAACTATAGGACAGATACAGAATGATTCACAATGGCTGGACTCTAAGCCTTACTTCTCAGTGATCGGTGCAGTCCAGACTGGTGATCTCATATAGGGTGTCATTATTAGATGATGCCCAGAACCAGCCACAAGTTCGGACTAACCTTGTTTGGTCTACAATTGTGATGACATATTACTATGGATTTAACAATAAAAATTCCAAACTAACGCAGGAACAGAAAACCAAATACCATGTTCTGATTTACAAGTGGGAGTTAAATGATGAGAACACATGGACACATAAAAAGAAACAACACACACTGAGGCCTGTCAGAGGGAGGAGTGTGGGAGGAGGGAGAGGATCAGGAAAAATTACTAACAGGTAGTAGGCTTAATACCTGGGTGATGAAATAATCTGTACAACCAACCCCCATGACACAAGTTTACCTATGTAACAAACCTGCACATGTACCCCTGAACTTAAAAGTTAAAAAAATTCATACCATTTGTTTTAAGAAAAAATAAGCCATTATTCCATTTTGTGTCCTCATGTTTTAAAATAAGCAATGTCCTATGTTTCTAATATCTAAGGTTCAGAAGTAAAAACATTATAACAAATATGCATTCCTTGAAAACTAGCATTTCTAGTGTTTAATACTCCCACTTCTTTGGCAATGCCGAATCTGCAAGCTGACTGCTCAGTCTGGGCACATGTCAACAATGGTGAATGTGCATGTCCTGTCAATTTCAAATGGTTCTCTGGAGTAAAGCAAGAGACTGATCCACATTTTAAAGGTAACAGCAAACATTTCACCATAGGAGGCAAGGACTCGAATTTGAAACTATGGTCTTATTCTGATTAGCCTCTATGATGATATGGTTGGGGGAAATCTAGTAGCGAGTGAAGGTTAGCAGAAGATGTGGTACAAGGAAGACGGGTTGATACCAAGTGAGAGATGGTGAAGGAATTCTATGTTCAGGGATGTAATCAACAGCCAGAGCAATGGACCTGTTTGCCCTGCTCTGTAGAGGACTGAGATGGAGCCCCCACCCCACAATGCAGACAGTTCACCTCAGGCCAAGATGCTTAGCATGGAGGGCCATGTCCTCCCATCAGACACCACTTGTACCTGCCAAGTGCCACCAATTTAAACTGATAATACAAGTCAGTGAAACCCCTCCGTGGGAACAAAAAGAAACAGAGCAGAAGAATGTTTTCAGCAGGTGAAAACCTGATCTTCAGACTGTAGCAGGGCCCTTAAACTCCTTAAGTCACCACTGTATCTTCTGAGATGTGGGTGTCGTGGGTCAGAAATGATCCTCCATCCTCAGGCTTCCCTTGCACAGCTGTTTCCAGGCACTTTTGTCAAAGTCAGCAACAGTAATTGTGAAGGGGATTTTATAGTTTATCTTCAACTGCAATTAACAGTTGGACTGCTGTCATTTTGCAAAATGACAAGTGCACTTGACAGAATAGTATCTTTTCAAAAATCAATTCTTAGAAACTTCTATATCCTGAAAGTTCATGGGTACAAATGTGCTAAACCCTAAATAAGTCTTCAAAGTGCTTCTGAAAGACAAGGTCCCTCATGTGCTGAGTCTCCTAAATCCCACTTACCCCTTCTGGATAAGAGCTCAGTGGAAATCTAGCTGTGATTGCTCAGTCTTACAGCTCTTGTCCGAGTAGATATTCTTGTCTTTGAAGAAAAGCATCATTTCCTCAGCCACTCTTGTGACAATGTCTTTATTTATAGCAGAACCATGGGCCCTTATCTCTGCCCTCACACATATTTTTGCATGTCTGCACTTCACTGGCAGGAAAAAGGTAAAGTAATTGATTAAGGTTCTGTTGATCAATCAATTGCACCAAAGACCACTGTGCTCATTATTGAAGACTCTAGCAGACCACATATTCTAGGTCCTTCAGCTAAATGTCTTCCCTCTTTCCTCCTACCCACCAAAAGTCAAGAGCTATCTTAGCTATGAGGTCCCTGCCTGTGTTTCTGGGAAAGATGAAGATGGCTTTTTGGCAAAAACCTTTTTGTAGTAGTCTAGAAACAGACTGTGTTGATAATCCTGGGGGTGGAATTGATCCATCTTGTCAACTATGAAAACTGCTGGAACATGTACTCACATTACCATGAATCCACTTCTGTAAATGGTCCTAGACCAACCATAAAAGATGAAATAGGATGGGGAGGCTCAAAGGATGCTCTGAGGGAGCAGAAGCACTATGCTGCTTCTCATGTCTAAAAGACTTAATAAGATCAGAGTTCCCTGGGGAAGGACTCTTAGAAACTGCACTCTCACCTCCACTCATTGGGTAACAGTGTTTTCCAAAACGTTATCTATAAAAAGTTGAAATTGGCAGAGAGATAGGTGCTAAAATGCAGAGAATTTTTTTCCTAACTCAAATGACATGCTAAATGTGACTTTTTAAAGGTATAAGAGACACAAGTTACATGAATATTTACCATTCACTGGTAACTAATCCATAGTGTTCATCTCACTGTGAACTGAAATCTCAATATTACCAGACATACTGAGGAATGAGGAACTAGACTAAGACTTGCACAGGGCCCAAGACCAATGCCTTGTACTGACGCAATGAACAAAGGAGCTGACTTAGATGACATTTTATGAAAAGCATTTGTTCTGATACATTCTTGGAACAAACAAAAAGACACCCCCAAGCAACAAGCTCTCAACCTCATAATGTAAAAAGGTTGTGACCAGGAAACTCCCCCAGATACGTCCTTATTTATTTTACTATATTTCTAGAGATTTATGAAAACGTGAAAAATAAGAAAATTATTCCTGAGTTTGGCAATCTTCCCTGTCTTGCAGTTTGTGTGGCAAACACTCACTTTCACTTCCTTGTTCAGTTAAGTTTCTGTTTCTTGTTTCAGTCCCAACCTAATAGTGGGAATATTAGCCTTGACAAGGACGACATTCATTTAAATGAGAATGAACCATCCTAGATAATGTA